TGAGCCACCATGCCCGGCCAGAAAATGTTGACTAAAATTTTAATATTCGTATGCCCTGAGCATAGCAGTTTTACCAACTTTACCAGTTTTCTCTATTGTGGCCTTTTATGTTTTCCTTGTATCTGTAACTTAACAAGATAAGATGAAATTTGTATTTGGGAAAATTGTGTAAATGAAAATACTGTTATTTGAAATGGAACTTTTCTACGTATTTTAACCCTTGCCCATATGCTAGTATCAATACTGGTTTATAGCCTTTGAAGTAAAAATTAAGACAAATTAACCGTGTCCTTTTATGTCTTTGTGCAGGAAACTCTTCATATAGTGAAAAAGAAGGGAAGAAAAATGAAGCAATAAAGATATATAAGGTTCGTTGAAATAAAGAAAAATTTTTTATTAGATAATAACACCTTTTGGTTACTTAGTACATAGCTCTAGTGCCCCAGGTATATAAAAATATTTTAATATAACTGTTACATACCTATTATGGAGGTATTTTTATTTGCTGTTTCACTAACTACTTTTTACTTTTCTAGCCTCAAAGATCAAATTGGCGTACAAGTCAGTGCTTCAGAAATTTTTTCTCCAATATATTTTCTTCTAGTAGTCACACTGGAGAATCTTCTTTTACCTGTAGAGCTTATTGGTTAGTATTTTCTACTTTTAATTGATGCTGTCTATACTTGATGTTTTAATGATTATGATTACCTTTTTGTAGAAATTTAAACTCTGGGCTCAATAACAATTATGAAAGGCCCATCTTGTTTTTGTTTTTTTCTTTTGGAGAATAAACTAGCTCTAAGACAAAACTGGTTGTTTTGTGAGCTTTTATATTATGCATTGACTGTCAATGCCAGTGGGCTTTGTTTTCATTAATAAGTTGTTCTATCCAAGCTTTTTATATAATAGAGAAGTAGGCTACTTGTTAAGTTACCGGGAGTAGTACCTAACAAAGCAGAAACCTTTTAGAGCCTACACAGTCATCTTTGAATCCTAGTGACTGGCACGTAATTACTAAGTAGATATTGGTGGAATGTGAAGATTAAATTGGGGTTTTGAAATCACATATACAGTTAGCTGAACTAACAGGACAGAATAAGATTGTGTGATTTGATTTTGGAGCTTGGCAAGGTATTCTAAGACAACAATTATATCTGAGTAGCTTTTTGAAAAGCTGAACTTTTCAAAAGTTCATCCATTTTTGGATGCAGTAATCATACCCTCCTTTATTTTCTTCTTTTGTCTTAGGCTAGTTTCAAGTGGCAAACTATTGCATCTAGAATGCCTTTCTTTTAATAATGAGGATTTTAGTATGAATTGATTTTTTTTAATCCTGTCACTTAAGATAGAAATTCAAGCATTATTTTTAGGAATCAAATAAATATAATTCTGATTAATAATATAAAAATTTTACTTAATTTAGGAATGAGTTTATATTAAAAGTGTCTAAATAGAAAAACATTCTTATTTTTATATGTGTGACCCATAATGCTAGGTACAAAAACAGCTGCTATTCTTGATATAACCCAGTTGTTTCTTTGAACTTAAAATTTTGATGAAGATCTAAAATTTATCTTTTAGTACAGAATTTATAGAAGTCAATGAAATCAGTGCATTGATTAGGCAGAAGAGACAGGAACTGGAATTATCATGGTTTCCTGATACATTACCTGGAATTGGAAGGTAAAAAAATTGTTTACTGAAGTTTTTACAGGCTAATGTGAGCACAAGATATCATTAATTTTAATACTTAAGTACATGGGTGCCTTATTCAAAAGTTATCTGCCTAAGGAAGTTTTGTGCACATTAAACTTTGATGTTTCAAATGCCTAATGAAGATTGCTATTTAAAGGACCTCTTAGAAAGTAAAGAATCCTTAATTAATCTGTTTAATAAGTATAGGTATTTATATGCTAGATTTATTTAAAATGGAGAGCACTTGAATAGTAAGATTCATTATTAGTAGTAGCATTTAAACCTGTCATCCTTCCTCTACTCTTCCCCCACTGCAGTCTCACCTGCTTTAATCATGTTTCCCTGCCTGGGCTGGAGTGCAGTGGCGCAGTCATAGCTCACTGTAACCTCAAACTCCTCAAGGGATTCTCCCGCCTTCCCAAGTAGCTGGGACTACTAGGCCCGGCTAGTTTGTTTGTTTCCTTCCTTCCTTCCTTCCTTCCTTCCTTCCTTCCTTCCTCCCTCCCTCCCTTTTTTTTAAGAGACGGAGTCCCACTATGTTGCGCAGGCTGGTTTCAAACTCCTAGTCTCAAGTGATTCTCCTGCCTTGGCCTCCCAAAGTGCTGGAATTATAAGTACGAACCACTGCGCCCAGCCTTAAGAATGTCCTTCTAAATAATTATTTGATCAAGTGCCGAGTGTTCATGACTTTCTATACCCTGGTTCTTTCTTTCTTAGTTTAAGTCCTCAAGCTACTAGCCCACTGCTAGGTACATAATATATATTTAAATCAAGCTCCTAAATAAAGATTAAGGTTCCTGCCTGAGTTTTATGTTCATTTGTATAACATATTATGACTTTATGTGTCACTATAATATAGTTTGTGTAGGGCGTTCACCCTCTAGGAATGACAGTGTAACATAAATTAGAAGTAAAATTAGGAGGTCTAGATAGGTATACTATGAATACTCTGAAGCCCTTCTTTACAGTTACATATTTTTAAGTATATATGTACCAGTCACCTTTTTTTCCCAAAGCTTCTCCTACTGTAAAATCTCACTGTATACTGAATCAGATAGTCTTTTATTAGGTAGACCTAAATTTAACAAAGATAAAGAAAAAAAGAAGCTGGCAAGTAGATTGAGTTTGAATGCAGAAAATTTTGGGGGTCTTAAGAGGTCCTTAGGGACACTGTGAACTCTGAAGAGCCATCTTCAGATCAAGGAATTTTAGAATACAATATGGTGATAGAAATCAGTGCATTGGTTGCCTGGAAAGGAGGGAAAGGGTGCAGAGAAACATGAGGGCACTTTCTAGGGAGGTGGAAATGTTCTGTTTCTTGATTGGAGTGGCAGTCGAACAGATAAATACACTGGTCAAAAGTCAGCAAATTATACGCGTAAAATCTGTGCCTTTTATTTTATGTTGAAATTATACCTCAGAGTTGATTTTTTGTTTTAGAGTGGTGTAGAAAAGAATAAAAGCTAAAAAAAATTCTTGACAAAATAGTACGTTAAATTATTTTAAAGAGAAACATCTGTATTAAAGTTGCCTTCATCTCCTGTGGCCTTTACTGTTAATTTATCAGAAAAACATGCTTTTAAAGGTGTTTCTTTGCAGTCATTGGTAACCATCTTTAGACCTTGAATTTACATTGTTAGTTTTTTGGGCAGAAAAGGTTATTAAAGCACTGTATTTAATATTCTAACTTGATTTGGAGATTTAATAATTTTAAATTGCTGGTTTGATTTTTTTTTAAACTATTTAAACAAAAATGTCTTTGTTTTGAATTTTCAGAATTGGTTTTATACCCTGGAATATTGAAATGGAAGTTCTTCCTCTCATTTCTTCTGTGTTGCCAAGAACTATTTTTCCAACAAGTACCCTATCTTTAGAAAATTTTGGTAAAGTTTGTGAAATGTTTTTTTTTTTTTTTCATTTTAAAAACCGTTATTAGTTTCTTCCAGTTTCATAAAAATGTGAGTGTTGCTTTAGAAAAGCTGTAAAGTAAGGTATAGTAACTCCTAGATATTTCTGCAAATATTTGGACAGTGACTTGACTTTAAAATCATTCCGACTAGAGTATATATACACAGTAGAATACTATTCAGCCCTGTAATAGGAAATCCTGTCAGTTGTGACAACACAGGGGAACCTGGAGGGCATTATGCTGCTAAGTGCATAAGCCAGACACAGAAAGACAAGTACCACATGATCTCACTTATGTGGAATCTAAAAAAGTTGATCTCATACAACTAGAATGTAGAGTAGTGGTTACTAGGAGCTGGGGGGCCTGAAGGATAGGGGATTGGGGAGGTATTGATCAAAGGACATAAAATTTCAGTTAGATAGGAAGAGTAACTTCAAGAGATCCATCATACAACAGTGGTGACTATAGTTAATAATACAGTTGACCCTTGAGTAACATGGGTTTGAAATTCGTGGGTCCACTTGTACACAAATTTTTTCAATAAATATACTGAAAATTTTTTTGGAGATTTGTGATAATTTGAAAAAACTTACAGAGAAAGTATCTAGCCTAAAATACTGAAAAAGTTGAGAAGATATGTCATGAATGCATAAAATATATGTAGATACTAGTCTATTTTATTATCATTTACTACCATAAAATATATACAGATCTATTATAAAAGTTAAAATTTATTAAAACTTATGCCCAGGGCCGGGCGCGGTGGCTCACGCCTGTAATCCTAGCTCTCTGGGAGGCCGAGGCGGGCGGATTGTTTGAGCTCAGGAGTTCGAAACCAGCCTGAGCAAGAGCGAGACCCCGTCTCTACTAAAATTAGAAAGAAATTAATTGGACAACTAAAAATATATAGAAAAAATTAGCCGGACATGGTGGCGCATGTCTGTAGTCCCAGCTACTTGGGAGGCTGATGCAGGAGAATCACTTGAGCCCAGGAGTTTGAGGTTGCTGTGAGCTAGGCTGACGCCACGGCACTCTAGCCCGGGCAACACAGTGAGACTCTGTCTCAAAAAAAAAAAAGAAAACTTATGCCCACAAACACAGACTGTGCATGGCACCATTCACAGTCAGGAGAAATGTAAACAAAGATGCGGTATTAAATCATAACTGCGTAAAATTAACTGTTATTGTGGTGAGTTCAAGTGTTGTGAGTATCCGCTAAATGCAGCGTAAAACTAATCATCTCCAAGTGAACAGTTTTCCCTTCCGGTAAATTGCATATTGCAGTAAAAGGTGATCTCTTGGTGATACTTAATGTCGTGTTTAATGCAATACCGTAAACCTTGAATGACACCATGGGACCCATATGAAGTGACACTAGTAATGCTGGAAGTGCTCCCAAGAAGTAGAGAAAACTTACGATATTACAAGGAAAAGTTGAATTGCTCGATGTGTACCTTAGATTGAGGTCAGCAGCTGCAGTTGCCTGCCATTTCAGACAGACAATTCATCTTGTAAACAGATGATGTAAACTTACGGTATTGATAAGTGCAGTACTGTAAATGTATTTTCTCTTTCTTGTGATTTTCTTAACACTTTCTTTTCTCTAGCTTACTTTATTGTAAGGATACAGTATATAATACATATTAAAAACATGGGTTAATCAACTGGTTGTGTTATCAGTAAGGCTTCTGGTCAGTAGCAGGCTATCAGTAGTTAAGTTTTTGGGGAGTCAAATGTATGCTGATTTTTGACTGTGTGGAGAGTTGGTGCCCCTAAAACCTGCACTGTTTAAGGGTCAACTATATTATATTGAAAATTGGCTAAGAGAGTATGGATGTGAGGTGGTCTTTCTACAAGAATAACTATGTGAGGTGATGCAGATGTTAATTAGCAAGATTCAGTCATTCCACAATGTATACTTATAAACATCATGTTGTACACAGTAAATACATACACTTTTATCTGCCAGTTTAAAAATAATCATCCCAAGTAAAAAGTCTGTTTTACAGTTTTAAGAAATTATGATTTGAAGGCTTTGAGGAACTGATTAGAAGTCTCCATTCTGTTTAGGGCTTTAGTGTCCAAACTATAGATCTTTTAGAAGTAACATCTGTTAATTAATTATGAACAAATAGTTTGAGTCTTTATCAATTCATGGATAACTTGACAATTTTTCTCCTTTTTGCATAATACCAGTTCGTAAAGCAAATAGCAGTTAGCAAGCCAAATGGTATTTTCCCTTTTTTCCTTATAGAATTGCCCACGCAGAGCCAAATCTAGTTACAATTTATTTCAGTGTCGTTAAGAAAAAGCTGATGAACACCTCATATTACTCAGATATTATTAGCTATGCATTTATTAATAATTTGATTTATGAGCATTTTGTTTTACTCTATTACAGACTATTGTATGCTAAAATTAGCTAAAGCCAAACTATTATTTCCTAAAATACATTTACTTTTTTAAAATTTTAATTTTACTAGGTGCTTCTTGCAAGGCATTAGCACATACCCAAGAAGGAGAAGAAAAGAAGCAAACTTCTGGTACGTCAAATACCAGAGGATCAAGACGAAAACCTGCAGCAACAACTCCTACAAGGAGATCTACACGTAACATGAGAGCTGAAACAGTCAGTCAGTCTCCAAGATCCCCAATATCAGATAATTCTAGGTTTGATGCCCCAGGTAACAATAATCCATCTGTAAGTGTTTCCTCTTCAGCTGTGTCAGAAAAGCAAACAAGACAAGCTCCAAAACGGAAGTCTATAAGAAGAGGAAGAAAACCATCTTTATTAAAAAAGAAGCTTCGGAGCTCTGTACCTCCACCTGAAAAATCATCTTCCAGTGATTCAGTAGATGAAGAAACAGCAGAATCTGACATACCACCTATGTTAGAAAAAGAGCACCAATCAAATGTAGAAAGTAGTAACACTTGTACTATGAAGACAAATGTAGAAAACCAATCTGCTAACTGCTTGCAAAGTTTCAGTGAGCAAATAGAAAGTGAGAAACATGCTGAGAATCGTGATATAGAGGAAAACGTAGAATCTTCATATTCTGAGTCTTGTACTCAAGATCCTCCTGTGCTACTTGGAGAGGAAGAGGAAATTCAAAAACTTGAGAATACAGATAGAGAGGCTAAAGTTTTGTGTTTAGAAAGTGAGATTTCTGAAAACATTTTTGAAAAAGGAGGCGATCCATTAGAAAATCAAGACCAGATATCTGGACCTTCAGAATCAGAGGTAAAGGCAGATATGTGTACAGATCATCCTCCAAACGATTTTCTTCCATGTTCAGGATCTGAAAATGAAGTACACCAACCTGTATCTAGTCCCTTACCCGAGTTACCAGAGAATGCAGAGTCAATGGTTAATGAAGAAAAAATGAGAGAGAATCCTATAGCAGAAATTATTGATCATAAAGATTCTGCAGTAAAAATAGAAGAGCTTGTAGAGAGTCCCAAGTTAGAATCTTTTGAGGGTGAAATGATACAAACAGTGGACAGAAAATCCGTTGAGAGCTCAGAGGTTCAATTGCTTGGGCATGTTGAAACTGAAGATACAGAAATAATTACAACATGTGATACTTCTGAGAATGAAAATGTCAATAGTATTCAAGACTCTGAAAATAATTTATTAAAAAATGATCTTCTTAACACTGAGTTGGACAAATCTTTAGAAGAAAAGAGTGAATCGGTGATTGAACATCCCAAATCTACAGAGTTGCCTAAAACACACAGTGAACAAATTCAGAAGCATTTTAGTGAGGACAACAATGAAATGATACCTATGGAGTGTGATTCATTTTGCAGTGACCAAAATGAATCTGAAATTGAACCATCTATAGATGCTCATTCTAAACAACTGAATGAAAATTCCGTGGCACTCAGTTCTGAAAATAATATACCATCTTCTGATCCTGCAAATGAAAAGATTGAAACTGTATCTCAGCCATCAGAAAGCTCAATAGATACAATAGATAAAGCCAAAAAGCCTCGTACGCGAAGATCTAGATTTCATTCCCCGTCTACTACTTGGTCTCCCAACAAAGATTCTGCACAAGAAAAGAAGCGGTCGCAGTCTCCATCTCCCAAAAGAGAAACTGGAAAAGAAAGTAGGAAGTCTCGATCACCATCTCCTAAGAAAGAATCTGTCCGAGGACGGAGAAAATCTCGTTCTCAGTCCCCCAAAAAGGATATTGCAAGAGAAAAGAGGCGATCTCAGTCTCGTTCTCCAAAGAGAGATAGTACGAGGGAAGGCAAAAGATCTGAATCACTGTCCCCAAGAAGAGATACTTCTAGAGAGAACAGAAGATCTCAATCAAGAGTGAAAGATTCCTCTCCAGGAGAAAAATCCAGGTCCCGGAGCAGAGAAAGAGAAAGTGATAGAGATGGACAGAGGAGAGATCGAGAAAGAGAAAGGAGAACCAGAAGATGGTCTAGGTCCAGATCTCATTCTAGGTCACCCTCAAGATCCAGAACAAAAAGTAAGAGTTCATCGTTTAGTAGAAGTGACAGAGATAATTACTCTCCCCGGTGGAAGGAAAGATGGACAAATGATGGTTGGAGATGTCCACGAGGAAATGATCGATACAGAAAGAATGATCCAGAGAAACAGAATGAAAATACAAGAAAAGAAAAAAATTATATCAGTCCAGATGTTGATGATCCAAATTCTGCTGAAAAACGTAGAAATGACTGTCTTAATTGGGTAACAGAAAAAATAAACTCTGGGCCTGATCCAAGGACCAGAAATCCAGAAAAGCTGAAAGAGTCTCATTGGGAAGAAAATAAAAATGAAAATTCAGGGAATTCTTGGAATAAAAACTTTGGTTCAGGTTGGATGTCTAACCGTGGTAGAGGGAACCGTGGACGAGGCACTTACAGAGGTAGTTTTGCCTATACAGATCAGAATGAAAGTAGATGGCAAAACCGCAAACCCCTCTCAGGGAATTCAAATAGTGCAGGGAATGAGTCTTTCAAGTTTGTGGAACAGCAACCCTATAAGCGAAAAAGTGAGCAAGAGTTCTCATTTGATACACCTGCAGATAGATCTGGGTGGACATTTGCCTCTAGTTGGGCTGTGAGAAAGACTCTGCCAGCAGATGTACAAAACTATTATTCACGACGAGGCAGGAATTCTTCAGGTCCACAATCTGGATGGATGAGACAAGAAGAGGAAACAACTGAACAGGGTAACATATTCTGTTTCTTTATTGATGCTGTTTTATTTGAAGAAAGAGATTATAAATTTAATACCTTATTTGTATGAATTGATGTGATCCTTACTTGTACTTTTTATGTTAAACTGAACCTCAATGTTTACAAGTCACTTTGCATTATATAAATATATGTACATACATTTATAAATATATGTACATACATTTAATATATATTTTTAACCTCACCCTTGCTCCAAACCTTGCCAAAGACTTAAATATTCCATGTACTGTTTGCTACAGTAGAAGAATTTGGGATGTTCCTATGTAGGGTTTAACTTCTATTTCATTTATTTCAGATGTGTGCACTTGAATTTTTTTGATCATTGTTCTCATAAAAATAAGTGACTGTTCTAAAAATAAAGATTTATTTTTGCTTATTTTTCTTAAGAACATTGCAAGAAAAAAAGCTGTTGAAGATATAAAAAATTGATTAACCTTACTTGTAATTTGATAACTAAGTCTTGTTTTATATTACTTTTTCATCTAGTCAGTAACTTTCTTGAGCTAGTGGTTCTTTGCTCATGTTGACATGTTATTGTATGAACTTATTCTTAAAAATAATTTTATTTGAATGTTTTAGTTGGAAAATCAGTGCACATTGTTTGGAAATGACAGGATTAAACTAAATAATTGGAGATTGGTTTTGTTGTACTGAGTCTGTTTATTGCTATTTAATTTTACTGTAACCAATGGTTCTTTGCTTCTCTGTCTAAAGAGATTTGTAACATGATTTTTTTCACAAGTCTTTTTTCTTTTGGTAGATTCTAACCTGAAAGACCAAACAAATCAACAAGTTGATGGTTCTCAGCTGCCTATAAATATGATGCAACCACAAATGAATGTAATGCAGCAACAAATGAATGCACAACACCAGCCTATGAATATCTTCCCATATCCAGTGGGTGTTCACGCTCCTTTGGTGAACATCCAACGCAATCCGTTTAACATTCATCCTCAGCTACCTTTGCATCTCCACACAGGAGTGCCTCTTATGCAGGTAGCTGCTCCTACCAGTGTGTCTCAGGGACTACCACCACCACCACCCCCTCCCCCACCATCCCAGCAAGTCAACTACATTGCTTCACAACCAGATGGAAAGCAATTGCAGGTATGTTTTTAGCAACTCAGGTTTAATCAATGCCATCGTAAACATTTTAGCTATTAGAGACAGATGTTCAAGAAAGGGAGTCCTGGCATCCAAAAACAATTGTTTATTTGATTACAATTTTAGGAAACCCTAAACCGTAATCCCTCTTACTGTCCTTCTCCAGACACCCCAACCCCCAAATAAAAAAATTAATTGAATACATATCATCAAATATAAGCCACAGTGTGCTGTTATTTATATCTAAACAGTTTTTTGTCAGATTAAGAAGACCAAATTGTGGGCCAAACTAGAGTCACATAGTGGGCGCTATAAAATTGTTCTTTGTTTTCTTGGATTTTTGGGGTGGAGGAGTGGGAACTAGTGATTAAGTACTGTGATGAGGCTTGTATTGTCTTGTCCAAACATTAGATAAAGCTGTTCATTATCTGTTACCATCTATGTTTCATTTTCATTAACTTACCATGCTAAAAAGGAAGAAGTACCTCTGAGATAGAAAATCTGAATAATTTGCAAACATTTTGTTACTTACAGTTTTATGCCTGCCTTTTAAAAATTGTAGAATCCTTTCTGTTATATGTAGTTGCAAGAGTAGGGAAATGGGATTTTAGAATTTGGGATCTTATATCTTTCTCTGCTATCATCTCACTGCAAGCCATTTGCCTCACTGCCTCAATTTCTCCAATCTGTAAAATCAGGGTGCTTACTTTAATAGCTTTGCAGGAAAGATACAGTTCTTTAAGTGCTATTCTTCTCCTCCTTGTTTTTAGTTACTGTCAAAACATTATAGTACACGTTTATACTTTTAAAGCCATCTTGACAAATCTAAATTAGGCTCCGTTTAAGAATGTTATTTATTTTTCTTCAAATAGCTCTTTAGATACAAATGACCTGAATTATGCATTTCTCTTAAGTACTAAGGTTGATTTGCTTTGTTTTTTAATGTTATTTCTAATACATAACTAAAAGACTTTATTGCATACAAGTAATTTGTTAACTGATGATAACTTTTTAAAACAGGGTATTCCTAGTTCTTCTCATGTAAGTAATAACATGAGCACACCAGTCTTGCCTGCTCCGACAGCAGCCACAGGAAATGTGGGAACAGTTCAGGGACCAAGTTCTGGTAATACTTCGTCTTCAAGTCACAGCAAAGCCTCTAATGCTGCTATAAAATTGGCAGAAAGCAAAGTAAGTGTTACAGTGGAAGCCAGCGCAGATAGCTCGAAGACAGACAAGGCAAGTTCAAGGTTGAGAGCAACCTACATAATTCTGTATATGATAAAGATGAAAAAATACCAGCTTTCTATTGTATGAATGGTGAAGGGAATTTATTGTGAGCAGTCTTAAATCCCAGTATTATTTGAAGGGTTCTATCTAGATGTGTTGATGCCCAATGAATTACTGGTAATATTTCATAATTATTTTTAGAAATATTTGATACATGTATTAGTAAATAACTTATATTTGTCACACTGATACTTAATAATGTAAAAGTGGAATATTTTCAATTTCATATTGTTAAAGAAGCTTTTTGAAAGTATGTGGTTGGCAAATAATAATTATACATTTTCTTTTCATCAGAAATTGCAAATTCAAGAAAAAGCAGCGCAAGAGGTAAAATTGGCCATTAAACCATTTTACCAAAATAAAGATATCACCAAGGAAGAATATAAAGAAATTGTACGGAAAGCAGTAGATAAAGTAAGTTACAGCTTTAGTGGAGTTATGTGCATATTGTTTTGAACCACTTCTATTTTAATAAAGGAATGCTTAAGTTTAATTAAAATAATAAAAGCTAGCTCCTACTAATTCTTGTCTGCTTTTTACCTTTTCAATAAGTTTGTATGAGATAGGAAATGTGAAAATAAGTCTAGTTATCTCTTTGGGGTTATTTGTTTTTCACAAAGCTTTCCATTTTGCTTTAATCCCTTTAAGCTTGAAAAAAGTTTTCCCCCCTTTTTTCTTAGGTTTGTCATAGTAAAAGCGGTGAAGTAAATTCTACTAAAGTGGCAAATCTGGTTAAAGCCTATGTAGACAAATACAAATATTCACGGAAGGGGAGCCAAAAGAAAACTCTGGAAGAACCTGTGTCTACTGAAAAAAACATAGGCTGAATTGGGGAGCACTATAAAGGACATTATCAAGATATCTGCAAAGTGCAATTTCAACTTGTACCATTAACTGAAAATCATACATAACTGTGATTGAAATTTGGTTTTGATAAAATTATTTTTTTTAACGTAGGATATAATGTTTTGTTCTAAATAAATAATAGTTCTGCACTGCAACTTCTATATCCTTCCTTCCCCTCCCCCTGAAAAGAAAATTTCAAGGGAAAGTAAAGAGTTTAGAGGAAGGTGCATTTTTACTAGGACTGTGTTATAGTATGGATACTGGAAGTTGTACAACTTTTCGAGTAAAACAATGGAGTGCATAAATTAGAGACTTCTAAGTGCACTGGTTTTGCAAGAGATATATATATATATAATACATTTATTCTGTCAGGCTAAAAAATAAAGTATGAACTTTATGATTTTTCCCTTTAATTATAGAAAGTTAAATAATGTATTACCATGAAAAGTATTTCTAATATTAAATAGAACATACCAGTTGCAGGGTTCCTAATGTGTATTTTTACAGCACATATCTGAATAAATTGCTGAGATAGAAGACAAATTATCACGAGTAAAATTTAGTGTTCAAAACTTTGAGACACTCTTCACCTGTTGTGTGACCAAATAAAGGTTATGCTGCTTGTTTCTCTTTTGTGCCTTTTTTTCCCCAATTGAGATGAAGCTGTTTGATTTGCCAGATTACAACTTTGGCAATTCAAAGTCTTTGTTGAACTTGGATGACCAGTTTGGGAAAAGTGTTGACATTGTAGAAATTGTGTTCTTTCCTAATACCTTCTACCCATCAGAGATAATAAATTATTTGTGCTAACTGGAGAATTATGTTAAGTCGTGACCCTTTCCTCCTTGGGACAAAGGTAGAATTTCAAGACTCACTGCATTGGCTTCAAGTTGTTGTTGCTCATCTATCTAATCACTAATGAAATTCTTTTCACACTTGAGAAATCCTCAACTGCTTAACAATGAATAAAATGTTAATTTGGTGACTATGCGTTGGCCGATAGTCATGTTGGACAATTCTAGACATTAAAACCTGTGTTTTGTTTGGAAAGAAAGGGGGAAATTGAATAATGAAGTCTCGGTTAAGTTTTCAGGGACTAGGGATTTGGTTATTTTTTTTAAAGACCTAGAGTATGTTAATTTTTATAAAAGGTAAGTCTAAAATGTTCATACAGGCATTATTTTAATTGGCATCTTGAAAGAACAGTAGATTCTCTCCATGATAAACTGTATTTCATTCCAGTAACAATTTTCAATAGATACCAAATAACTGGAAAGCCGTTCAGATGAGATATTAATGGATCCAAGGTAGATAAATGTCTCAGTGAGATAAACTGATCGTTTTACTAGCTAAACTCTTTAGTGAGAGCAATACTCTATAGGACTGTGCTTTTCTAAAGTAAAGATGATCTGTTTTTTAATTTTATGTGCATAATACTTTCCTGGTGCTAGCTTCGATAGGCAAAATATTTTGAAATGTTGGCTCCCATTATGATTCTGCTAGTTCATAAGCTTTGTTAGGTTGTGAGTATAATCCTGAAAGTATTTCCAAGCAGTTTTTGATCTTCATTCTACATTTCTGGGCATTTGTAATATGGTATTCTACTGATATATATATTTTTAATTAAAGTTTGTGTTTAGATTATGATGGAGAAGTTTGGAGTATATTTCTTCTAAGAAAATATTAAGACAGTGTTTCAAATATCAGTGCACACCTCAGTTGTTTTGGTTAAGAACTCTAGAAACAATTGTGGGAACTTTCAATCTATTTTGAGTTAAGGCTGGTTCACACTTTAAAAATTTTGTAGCAAATTGCTGTGCTTCTGCTGATTAACCACACAATACATACTCTTCCTGCATTTTCTTTCAGTGACATTTAGTGAATTAGGTGACGTTTTAAAAATGTGCTTATACCGTTGAGCTTTTGGAAACAAATTTTAAAGTTTTGGAGAAAACCTTCGTGGTGTGGTCAAGAGTTAAACTCTCATATCTTTGGTAGCACTCTCATGAATTATTTCTACCTTTCTTGAAAATAACAAGTATGTGTTCCATATCTGGGGCACTGGTTAGACTGCATTTAAAATAGCTAATGAAGAATGTTTCTGGATTAGAATTCAACCTTTTTAAATTCTGAAATGTTTAAGAATGTGTTAGAAAATGCATGCTTTATGTTGAAAAAATACATTGCATTAACATTCCCCATTCTTGCTTTTTTCCAGAAATTCACATTAATTTTGCATGTGCACAGTCTTAAAAACATTTTGTAGGGTTACATATTGTTATTAAGATTCAGTATTGACTTGACCTTTGAAACCTGGGTCCCTTTAACTTGCTAGTCACATTGACCGATGTTTTAGGCTATAGAGATGCCTAGAATTTTGAGACTAATAGAAGTTATCTGTAATTTTAACATTCCAAAAGTTTTATGATTTATTTTTTTTATAATTACATTTTATTACCTTCCTTTAAATGGTTACAGTGTGTATGTTTGAATGTTCCATCTAAAAGATTTAGCTTCAGAAGCACAGTGGTTGCCCCACGGTCCATGAGACATTGTTTGTAGTATGAGATTGGAGTGCTGTCTACTGAAATAATACTCTTAAATATGTAGTGTGTAATATTTTCTAATAAATTCTTTTGATAAACAAAGTACTGTCTTTAACATTTTATTATGAAGGTTCCTGGGAAATGATGACTTTTACTTCATTATAGCCCTTTTCAAACATGTGTTGAAGTATTGGATTTGTAACAAGTCACTAGCATCATGTTTACATTAATGTCCAAGCTCTAAAGCATGAGGTATCAGCATATATTTTAATAGCAGTTTCCCCCTAACCACATAATTATTGTAGGAGATTAGAAAAACTTTAGTAAATTTGTAAAAGAGGGAAGAGACTGAAAAACGGAGAAAATCACCTGTAATCCTACCATTCAAAGGTAACAACTTCTGGCTGGGTGTGGTGGCTCAGGCCTATAATCCTTTCACTCTGAGAGGCTGAGGTGGGAGGACCATTTGAGGCCAGGAGTTCGAGGCCAGCCTGAGCATAGCGAGACTATGTGCCTGTAGTCCCAGCTACTCAGGCAGCGGAGGCAGGAGGATCTCTTGAGCCCGGGAGTTTGAGGTTGCAGTGAGCCATGATGAGGCCACCGCACTCTAGCCACGACTGGGAGACTCTTGTCTCAAAAAAAAATTTTTTCTAACGCTTAACAAACTGCACATAGCTATGTTGTAACCTATCCTTTTCACTTGATATATTGAGAATTTTCCATTTTAATAAAAATTCTACAGCATGGATTTTAATGGCTCTATAAAATTCTGTTACATGAATGTACCATTAAAGCAATCCTCTGCTATTGGATATTAAGTTGTTTTTACAAATATAA